AAATGCAGGAAAAGCTGTATTTACTTAATCCTTCAGCACATTTCTCAAACTCCCTACCATGTGTAGGACCTTGGGCTGGCTCAGGATCCAGTAGTATATGTTTTGCAATGTTAATCCCAGCATTATTTGTGGTCGGGGAAAAACTTGTAGCTGCTATATTTCCAACAGTGGAGAATGTAGCTAAATAATGATTATATCCATATTATTCCATTTTTTAAAGCCACTGAAAGTGGTAGCTCATTTATAATAAGTGAAAATAATAGGCTGTGATTCAACAGGCAGAAAAACATGCTGGGAAAAGAACAAAAGGAAATACTAACTAATTGATTTACGTTAAGTGGGATGGAGGGTTCTGCAGCAGGGAGTTATTTTTTCTTTTCTGAGATTTCCAAATTTTCTTTAGTATAATTATAGATTTTCTGATCTTGCTTTTGAAACAAGTAAATTTAGATCCTATTTTTTCAAATTTGTTGCATGTACCATGGTTAAAGTTGTTCTACATTTTATAATTCGTGTATATTTCTTTATAAAGTAGAAGTAGCCATGTGTTTTTAGTACAAAATAGCTTATTCTGTCTTATGTCAACCCTACTAGACTTTGGGAGGGAAAGTAATTAGAGTAGTATGGGCATGCATTGCGTACATTTATCTCTGTAGGAAAAGGTGGAAAGGCTTCTGGGAATCCACTCTGTGCCAGAGCATTGTGGGTAATTGAAATGTATTTTCTTAATTTAGCTTTGTAACAGCTCATGAAGATGGAAAGTGTTATTAGCCTCATGTTATAAAGAACTTAGGGAAATAAAAGTTAAGTAGTTTATCTGCCAAGGTCACACAAGTTAGTAGAGTATATATTATTTTGTAAATTTATGAATTTAAAATATTTTATAAAAGATAATTTTATTTTATTTATTTATTTATTTATTTATTTTGAGACCGAGTGTCACTCTTGTCACCCAGGCTGGAGTGCAGTGGCACGATCTCGGTTCACCACAACCTCCGCCTCCTGGGTTCAAGCAATTCTCCTGCCTCAGCCTTCTGAGTAGCTGGGATTTTAGGCGCACGCCACCATGCCCTGCTGATTTTTTTATTTTTAGTAGAGAGGGTGTTTCACCTTGTTGACTGGGATGGTCTTGATCTCTTGATGTCGTGATCCACCCGCCTCAGCCCCACAAAGTGCTGGGATTATAGGCGTGAGCCACCACGCACGGCCAAAAATATAATTTAAAAATAAACATTATTTTATTAATTTTAGTAATGACATATTACTTTTTGTTTTGCTTTCAGAATGTTTTCACAGAATCCAAATGTTTACCAGAGAGGCCATATCCCTCTTCCTGGTCCCTCTGGAGAAGATTATTCACACAGGAGGTACACTTGGAATGTGAAGCCAAATGCCAGTTGAGCAGCCCAGGAGAGAAGGAGGTGAATTACTGTGGATGATACTATCCAGCCTATTGGGAAGGGACTCAGTGATACAAACCTGGCCTGGAATTCTACCTAGTGACCAGAGCTGGCTTGAAGATTGCTGGTGATCAGGTCTAATGAGGTTTCTTTATTGTTTCCTTCTATGTTCAAGTTAAGAAAAAATTATATTGCTGTTTACCTCACTAGGAAAGTGGCACAGTGTTACTGGCTTGTGTGTGGTTGTGAAGGTGAACTGAAATAGTGCATCTCAGTGGCCCGTGCATAGGTGTTGAGTCAACGGTGATCTATACTCCAGGGTCTTTTCTGGGTCAGCTTCAGGCTGCTGCAATTCACTTGGCTGGGTCCCAGGTTTTTAGCTGCACCTATAACTGTGAGCCCTTCCCCTGGTGGTAGATTCCCCTGTTTTGTACTGACCTTTCCCAACTGTGATCATATATGTATAAGGTAACCCAAAGCTGTTGGAGATGAGTCCTGAATCTTATTTTCTAAAACACCTATCTGATAGGCCATGAGACATAAGGCCATCATCCATGGGCGATTTTGTACATTTCTTTTGCTCCACGCAGCCTTATCTTCTGCCATCTTCAACTTCTATCCAAATTTTATTCTTTTATTCCTAACCTCAGATTCTGAATCTTAACTTCTGCCATTTCCCCCATTTCTGATTCTTTGTATAGCCCATAAAATCTCTCCCCTTTTGACCTTCTTAGGCCTGGACCATGTTCCTTCCTCTCTCCTCAATTCTACTGTCTATTCAACCACCATCCAACTTTCAGTACCTTCTTGTGTTTATTTCATTTATTTATTTTTTTATTTTTTGAGATGGAGTTTCGCAGTGTTGCTCAGGCTGGAGATCACAGTGGTGTGATCTCGGCTCGCTACAACCTCTGCCTCCTGTGTTGAAGCGATTCTGCCTCAGCCTCCCAAGAAGCTGGGATTACAGGAACCCACCACCACACCCAGCTACTTCTTTGTATTTTTAGTAGAGATGAGTTTCACCACGTTGGCCAGGCTGGTCGTGAACTCCTGACTCAGGTGATCCACCCACCTTGGCCTCCCAAAGTGCTGGGATTGCAGGCATGAGCCACCGTGTCCAGCCATAATTCCTTATAAAGCAGCCTTTGATCCCCACCCCCACCAAGGAAAACCCACAGTCAACAGCATCTCAAAACTCGAAAGCCTATTTATTACTCATCTATTGATTCTATTACATTTCTTTATCAAGTTTTAAAAATATATTATTGGAATAAAGAAAGCAGTATCTATCTATATATTTGGAAAACCAGCTGGTATCCAAAGTAAAGCCTACAGTCTCAGCAACTCTTGGAATCTGTAGCCATAGAATTCAGAAATTTCCGTATCTTTTTCCCTCTGGATGAAGAACTGCAGTTTCCCCAAAGAGGTGTATTTGGCAGCATTCTCACGCGCTTGCTGAGCCTTCCTCTTCATGGCCTCATGCTCTGGCCTCTGCTCTTTTGTGATGGGTGTTGACTCTACTGGCCCAGAAATGTCAGGTGTCCTCCATGGCCTGCGTTGTAAACCGAAGTCTTGGATTAGGAACTGATTTTGAGGCTTGGGCAGTGACTGGAGATTGGTCACAGCAGTGGAAACAGGCTCCCGCTGGAGAGAAGAGCAAGATGATGTTTTGTAGAGTGCTGGCCTAGAAGCAGCAGACTGAGAGGCAATAGGAGGCTGGTTAGGATTGGTTGAACCGGGTTTGGTTGCATTGGTCGAAATTGGCTGAGCTGGTCTGGCAGGACCTGTCAAAGATGTGTTGGTAGGAGCCAGTTGGGATGGACTGACAGCAGTTGACTGAGCTGAGTTAGAACCAGGTGGAGCAGGGCAAGCCACCGCAGGCGTACGTGAGGCCGGAGGGTGTGGCCGCCGAGAAACAGGTCAGAAAGGGCAATGGTACCAACTTGACCTTCCCAGGTGGTGGCAACTCATACTGGGATGGAGATGGACACTCTTTTTCAGCATTATCATCCAGTTTCTGGGCATGGACTTGAGTTTTGTCCGGGCCTTTCCCCTCACATCGGGTAGCCAGCCATGGATTAAGAGCTGAGAATGGCCGAGGGTTCTGGGTGTTGCTTGAGCTCCCCAGAGTCCGGGAGGAAGACAATCCAGTTTTTTTGTCAGTCTTTTTCCCCAGTGCATGGAAAACTTGCACGGACTCTAGCATGTGCATGCCTAGGGAGGTTCGTGGCTTTTTGAAGGTCTCTTGGCTAAGCTCAGGCTGATTTTTCTTCCGCTTCCTATTTGGAATTGTTTGCTTCTCTTCGACCTTGACTTCCGTCCCTGACTTCTTACTGTCTCCAGATTTCTTGGAGCTGTTCTCTCTGCTCCTTTTGGTCTTCTCCTGCCCGTGCCTCTTAGTTGTGCTGCCTCTGCTGGATGCGGCTTTGTGACTTTTGTTGCTAGAACGCTTGCCCTTGCTCACAGAAGCGCTGTCACTGGCGGTAGCCCTGCAAACAGCCACTTCTTCCTCTAATAGGCTCTCTGGGTTCTTTGGCTGGATTTTGGCCTTGGGAGCACCCTGGATAGGCTCGGCAGCTTTATGCTTGTTCTTCCTTACTTGATCAGAGTGGCCCTTTATGACACTTGATTTTTCCTGCACTTGATTTACCTTGATGGTGCTGGGATCTTTGGCTCTGTTGCCTGAGGGACTTTTGAATTGGTCAAGATCTTGTATGGAACTGAAGATGTAGGGACTTTGGGTTGGTCAAGCTCTTGTACAGAACTGAACATGGAGGGACTTTTGGATTGGTCAAGATTTTGTAAGGAACTGAATAGGGAGGGACTTTTGGGTTGGTCAAGCTCTTGTAAAGAACTGGAGATGGAGGGACTTTGGGGTTGGTCAAGATCTTGTAAGGAACTGAATAGGGAGGGACTTTGGGGTTGGTCAAGATCTTGTAAGGAGCTGAATAGGGAGGGACTTTGGGGTTGGTCAAGATCTTGTAAGGAACTGAATAGGGAGGGACTTTGGGTTTGGTCAGGATCTTGTAAGGAACTGGAGATGGAGGGACTTTGGGGTCGGTCAAAATCTTGTAAGGAACTGAAGATGGAGGGACTTTGGGGTTGGTCAAGATCTTGTAAGGAACCGAAGATGGAGGGACTTTTGGGTTGGTCAAGATCTTGTAAGGAACTGAATAGGGAGGGACTTTTGGGTTGGTCAAGATCTTGCAAAGAACTGATGATTGAGGGGAGGTGAGTATCCTCCACCAATGTAGTGACGTCTGCAAGATCACTGCTAGGCTCACTCCCATTTTCAAGTAGCCCTTGGCCCTGAAGACTCAGGCTGTTGTTTCTCAGATTGGCATTTTCAGAACCAGGCTGCTCCTCTTGGCCAAGAGGATCAATGCAGGACACAAGCTGGTGAATATCAGGGATTTCTAAAGGAAGCACTGGAGGATATCGGTTTTCTATTGGTAATTGGTAGGCATCTAGAGGCTTTGAAATTTTGGTCTTAATCTCATCCAAATTCTTATTCTCAGTTTTGTCCTGGCTTGGAGCTGGAGACACTGTCAGGAGATTAGTTGGACTCTGGACTGGAGCTGTCATTGAAATGTCCCCAAGCTCAGGTGATGGATTACTCTCACGTATCTGGGTATTTCTGCTACTGCAGGACTTGGTGAATTCTGGAGTTTGTGCCAGACAAAATGTCTGGCTTGCAGATTGCAAGCCAAGGGAAGTATCCACCCCCAGGGAAGTTTCCATCACTACAAAGGAATCAAGGAAGAAGTCAATCCCTGGTAAGTGAGATGTTCCCCCTATATGCCAATGCAGCAATGGGATACCTTTCTAACATGTGCAAGTCATTTCTACTAGCTCTTCTTCAGGACCATGGAGAAGATCCTGTATTGGGTGATAGGCAGTGACTGTTCTCTTACTGGTTATCATTTGATGTGATTGTTTCTTAGCTTTCTTTGAATTTTATAGGGTTGTTATAAGCCAAATAAAAAGTGAAAGTGATTTTTAAATAGGAGATGATTTATAAAGCCTCATATTCTCATATAGGGTCCCTTCCGTTCTCTCCACTCTCTTGAGAGAGTAAGAACCCTTTACGCCATGGTCTAGGGGAGAGAGTGGAGCCCTTCCTTATAAACTACATAAGCAAGCACAGATTCTGAACCTGTTTGTTTTGGAGAGGATCTCTAAGCACAAGGTCTTAAATCCTATTGTAAGTTAAGGAAAATCAAAATGTCACTGCAAAAATAAGAGTTCTAAAGTGCCTTCCAAAGAGACTAAAGTAACAGATTAAGGGAGAACGTTACAGTGTGCTGGTGCAGGGGAACTGATCAGCCAGGCCACTAAAAAGTGTGGTATCTCTTGGGACTCTCTTACATGTGGCATAAATGGCCATCATAGTGTTCAACTTTCCGTCTTAGAAGGTGTTCTTACATAGAGGCTGAAAATGAACAGCAGTGCCCCAGAATAGTGGTTGAAGTCTCAGCACCCAAATTCTGACTATCTGTGGACTTACTACTCGGCTATAGATTTGACCCTCCCTTTCAATACTGTGTTTATTCCTCTCCTTTTTTGCTGTTTGTACTCACCTTGAAAACTGGTTACTGTGCTGGGTTGAGCAGACACAGAGTAATACATCCCGGAAGTGGAGACTGGTGGTAGAACTTTTGTGGGCTGAACCTCCTTTAGCAGCATCACCATTTCTGGTTGATGGGCAGAGGCCCTATTTCCTGGGTATGATGCAGAGCCATAGGATTGCAGCCTAGGGCCAAGTTCTCCAGATAGTTGAGGCCCCGGTGTGCCTGGATTATAGTAATAGACCTGGCTTCCTGTCTGGTAGGGAAGTGACAGGCTATGGCCCTGCTGATTTGGAGTTTGAGATTGTGTCCTCTGAACAAGTCTGGCAGATAGTGTTGGATACAGAGGGACTATAATATTGGCATGTGAAGTTTTATCATGCTGGGCTGTCATAGACATGGAAGAGACAGCTGTGTTCTGGTCAATGACAGTCACAGTGAAGTCCCTGAGTGAGGGTGACTTCTTTGCTGTCTTTGCTGTAATGTCCCACTCAAAAATGCCTGGGTAAGGGGCAGCTGAAATAGAGCTATGGCTCTGGCCACTAACCCCAGACAACATAGATGTGGTAGAATGTTGGTAAAGGTAGGCACTGCCTGTGAGTGGCTGGAAAGAGGTGCCAGAGGCTGATGGCAGTAGCCATGCTGAGCTAACAGCTGGAGTAGAGGCTCGGGAGAAGTTGGAAATGCTTCCTGTTAGGGAAGCCGCATTGCTCACCACAGGAAGGGAGAGCTGCAGAGAATTTGCAGTTCCAAGTAAAGAGGTATTTTGGAAATGTTCTGTAGGAAAGAAGAGAGATGACAAACTGGTGAGATTGAGAAAATGTCACCTTATCTGAAGAACAGCATCATCTTAAGGTTGTTTCAATCAGGAAGCCTCTAATACCGATACTCACTGAGATACCAAAAGCCAAACACTTTACGATGGCCATGAGTGCTGAAGCAGTTTGGTCCTCTTCTGATGAACTGTCTTTGTGTCCAGTTTTGGCACAGATGTGCAGAAGACCCAAGTGGTCTGGTTTTGTACTTTATTTCCTAGGCTACAAGCAAACTTCTCCATTCCCTATCTTTCCCTTGAATCTGGGTGAGTATTGGTTCATAACTACTTCCTACAATTGGAGCATTTTGGAACTGGAAGGCCCTTAGAGAAGGACCTCATTTTATGAGTACCTGAGGCTGAGAGAGAGCAGATTGACCTGTTTAAGATTTACCATTACGTTAATGTCATTACCATGACTTCCTGGCGAGGATTGTTTTCTCTGAGCATAGACCAGAAACCAGGAGAAACAGAACTTTTAATATGGCAATTTTGGCCTATTACAATATCGTACAGCTCTTACTTTTATAATCCTTGGTGTAACATTTGCTTCTACAGGTCATGTGACATTTGGTAGCATTTACATTTAACCCAGGCCATTGGTAAATCTGAAGGGTCATTCTTTGTCCTCTTCAAGCCTGGTTTTTATCATAAGTCAAATTCTACCTGATGGTTTTAGAAAGAAAATTTTTTTTTTTATCGTTTGTTTGTTTTCTGTTTTTTTTTTTTTTCTTTTTTTGTGAGACAGTCTCACTCTGTCAGCAAGGCTGGAGTGCAGTGGCTTAACCTCAGCTTACTGCAGGCTTTGCCTCCTGGGCTCCAGCAATTCTCGTGCCTCAGCCTCCTGAGTAGCTGGGATTATAGGTGCCCACCACTGCAACTGGCTAATTTTTTGTATTTTTAATAGAGAGAGAGTTTCACCATGTTTGCCAGGCTGGTCTCGAACTCCTGACGTCAGGTGATCTGCCCGCCTCAGCCTCCCAAATTACTGGGATTATGACATGAGCCACCGTGCTTGGCCTGGAAGCATCATTTCTAAAACACATTTCTAGAATGATTATATTAAAAACTGTCAAGTGTCATCTATGTTCAAAAGGCAAAAGAATAAAACAACTTAATGTGACTTCCGATAAACTGCTTTTTCTAGGGATTCTCTATTCTAGCCTGTTTCCTTCCTACTTTATTGATGTAAGCATTGACTAAAACCAACTTCATTTTGCCCTATTCTGAGTAGATTTCACTCTGTTGTCTTTCTGCTTTTCTTCTAAAATTTAAAAAATATATATATTTTTCCTTGAAATCATTTTGTCATTCTCCAAGGAGTATCCAAAGGAAAGTGTAGGGAACTCTGTCTTTCTGCTTTCATTTAAAATCCCAAATTCCTTACCCTATAATATCTGCCTCCTTATAACCCAGTACTCTTCATTTTCTCTTTCCATCTAGTTCAGATAGGAATCTCCAAAACGTGAATATTACTTCTCTTTCTTTCAGACAGGGTCTCACCTTGTCAGGAAGGCTGAAGTCCAGTTGTGTGAACACGTGAACATGGCTCACTGCAGCCTCAACCTCCTGGGCTCAAACAGTCAATTGATCCTCCCACCTCAGCCTCCTGAGTAGCTGGCATGCCCCCACACCTGGATGATATTTTTAAGTAAATTGTAGAGATGGGGTCTTGCTATGTTGCCCAGCCTGGTCTCGAACTCCTAGGCTGAAGCGATTCTCCCATCTCGGCCTCCCAAAGCACTGAGATTACAGGCAGGAGCTACCATGCCCAGCTGAATATTAAAAACATCACTACACATCACTAAATATAAAATAGTAAAGTTGAAATATTAGTGAGGGAGACGGCCTCTCAAAGTGCTGAGATTACAGGTGTGAGCCACCGTGCCTGGCTGAATATTTAAAACATCACTAAATTTAAAATAGTGAAGTTGAAATATTAGTGGATGGAGACTATTACACATGAAACACCTCAGAATATGTTGCCAGTTTTCTACGCCAGTTAGGTTTTCTCTATGAATCTGTTGAAACGAACAGCCTCAAATGTGTCTGAGTTCATTTTCTGTACGTTGCCCTTTAAGACTCAGCATTAGAAAAGAAAGGGGCCAGAGGGAATAACGAATCTATTATCCTAATATAACAGATGAGGAAACAGATTTTGTGAGAGAATAGAAGAAATATCTAAAGTCACACAGCTAGTAACTGTCAAAGCCAAAACTGACATGAGGTCTCTAGATTTCTACTTGAATACGTTCCCTGTTATTCCAAGCTGTTTGAGACTATAGGGGTAAAGAAATCTAAAGTTGGGGGGAAAGAAGTCGAATGAAAAACTGTCAAGAAAGGTTCTCTCTTTACCTGACATGGTCAGAGAAGAAGAAACATCAACTGTAGATTCAAGGGATAAAGATTTGATCCTAGTGGATGTCTGTCTGCGTGGCTGAAGCCAAGGAGTGAATGTGTCCAGTATGAAGGCCACCGGTCACACTGGTCACTGGCTACCCCAGGATTCTACCAGCTGGCAGTAGGCTTGGTGAGAGAATGATGTCACAGAGCAGGCAGTTTAAAGGTGTGCGATAGCCAATAGGGAGGCCAGATTCTCAGGAAGATGGGATTGGCTGGCAGAGGTGGTAGGAAAACTGAAACAGTACCAAGTGGCTGAGTTCCGGGGAGGTGAAGTCCTGCATGATCATCTCAGTGTTTTTTGTACTTGTTCACTAATATCATTGACTAATACTTATATTTTATATGTCATATTTCATGTTATATAATACTAAACATTTATAATTGTATGCTACATACACAGTACCCTTGTGGAGAAAGGAAAGTGACATCTAAGCTGAGCAATTACCATTGTTCTAAAAGCGTTTCAGTGAATCTGATTAATCAATTTACTGCTGCTTTTAAGGGCCAAAGGAAGAGATTAAAGAGCCCTCTTCTGTAACTTGGTTGAAGGCAAAGTTCGTTGACTGTCCCTTGTAGGAAATGATGTGGTCCAAACCTCCTCTTTTATAATTTCTTCTCCTTGAATCCTACCTTCCTTGGGCTGGCCCAGGCTGGGCCAGGTTGGACTTGGATCTCTCTTCTACTCTTCTTTTTTCCGCTTGATTTTAGGCATTGTTTCTGGGCCAAGCCTTGATCTTGCATTTTTACACTCATGGAAATGACTTCCAGTCAATATCCCCTTCCAGAGCAGGGGTCTTCTTTTCAGTGTCCTGATGTTTGAAAAACGGACTCTGCTCATGAGAAGCCATGACTAGAGAGGTAGAAGACAGGGCTGACTGCAGACCTTCCCTCTTCTAGCCTTTGTTCACAATTCTGTTGCCCATAGTGTGCTACCTCTGACTCCTTGGGCCACACAGACATCCTGCCATCCTGCTCTTTTATACGTGAGAGGCATTCAGGGTGCTTTCTTTCTTCTCACATGAGAGGATCCAGTGTGGCAGTTACTTATATCCTCCTCTCCATTGCAAACAGCCACTGTGGAATCTTGGGCCTTTAGAATGCCCTGTCGGCCATGCTTGTGTGCAGGGGCCAGGCAAAATGAAGAGTTGAAGAATTTAGTGGAGAATAGGAAAGAGACCAAGTGAGGGTACAAGAACAAAGAGATTTGTGTGGATTTTTTGGTTTCTGTGAGAAACAATTACATACCCTTATTTTGTATTAACAGGACAGATAATTCAGTACTTTGTATGTAGCTAGATAGTCCAGAAACTTCCATGACTTTTGTACACTGAAGAAAATAATTGTAATATATTTTTTCCATTTTTTATGTCATATTGCTCATTTATATCATTCATTAGTATGTCTATAGAATGTAGATTGCTTTTATTTTATTATTTTCATTTATTTATTTTTGAGACAGCGTTTCACGCTTGTCTCCCAGGCTGGAGTGCAGTGGCACGATCTCGGCTCACTGGAACCTCTACCTCTTAGGTTCAAGCAATTCTCCTTCCTCAGCCTCCTCAGTAACTGGGATTATAGGCACCACCATCATGCTGTGCTAATTTTTGCATTTTTAGTAGAGATAGGGTTTCACCATGTTGGCCAGACTGGTCTCAAACTCCTGACCTCAGGTGATCTGTCCACCTCAGCCTCCAAAGTGCTGGATTATAGGCATGAGCCACCATGCCTGGCCTGTAGACTGTTTTTAAATGCCCTGGTTGTTCTGCATGTTTTTTCCCTGCCATATTTTTAAGGAATACAACATTGCAAGACATAGTGCATGTTTTTCTCATAATGGTTGTTTCTTTTGAGACATCATGAACTATCTTGGCCTGATAGGTTTTGTGGAGGAAATTAAAGAGGGGTGTGTGAAAAAGGCACTGTGGTGAGTTGTGCTGTGCGCTAAAGCAAAGAAAGAGATGTCTGCAGTCAGCTCAAGTTGACCTGGATTGCCTTGGTTTTTGTTTTCCTGGTTAGTGCTTTTCTCACTAACTTGTCTTATAACTGTGTAAAATGAGTTAGGGCTGAGTTGCTGGTGATTTTTGTGTGGAATAAGCTGGTTTGGGGGAGGAAATCTATGGGTATAATCATTTTCCTTGGTTGTAAGCTTTCAGAAGCACCTGAATTGATCTTTTTTTTTTTTTTTTCCTTGAGATGGAATCTCGCTCTGTTGCCCAGGCTGGAGGTTAGTGGCACAATCTTGGTTGACTGCAATCTCCAACTTTGGGCTTCAAGCAAGTCTCCTGCCTCAGACTCCTGAGTAGCTAGGATTACAAGTGCATAGCACCACACCCAGCTAATAATTGTAATTTTAGTAGAGGTGGGATTTCACCATGTTGGCCAGGCTGGTCTCGAACTCCTGACCTCAGATGATCCGCCCACCTTGGCTTCTCAAAGTACTGCGATTACAGGCGTGAGCCACCATGTCTGGCCCTGAATTGATCTACTGAGGGACTTTTCTAGTGTGTGTGAGAAGGTACAGAATGCCAAGAGCCCACAAGAGGATAAACTCAAGATGGGACCTCTGAAGATAAGTATTGCATTTATAGACCTATTTTCTCATCTCTTCCAATAATGCTTCTAGTATTATGAGATAGGAACTTTTTTGTGATCATATGTGGGTGGGTGATCTGAGAAGAAATTCAGAAAGGACTGACAGTGTAGAGTTAGGCTTAAGCTATACAAGGTTTTGAAGTTTTATTTTCCCCCTTTGAGCTTAGTTTCATTCCTCAGATAGCCTACTTTCATGCTTGTATGTAATGGGAGACTAAGACACACGAAGTATCTGCAAGTCAGACTAGAGTCTGTTTTCTTTATGTTCCAATGGAAATCAAGGGAATCCATCGCTACTACAGATTTTACTGGTGGCATAAGGTGGGAGGAGTACAGTAAGATTATTTCTGGTAGCAATAAAATGTTTACTTATTAAAATATTCAGTTCTAACATTCAATTCTAGTTAGGCAAATGCTTATTACAGGTTGACCTTTCTTGGTCCCCAGCCTCTATACTGATACTCTGTCCATAGTTCCAGCCACTTATCAATCTTTTTCAGTCTTAATATCTTAATCTCTAAAATAAATCTTAAATGTAGGATGAAGAACCTAAACACCTTGAGCACAACGCTCTGGAACTTAGCATTAAGTCCTACCATGACCTAAAGCTTCACTTTTTATAGTTAGGGCTTTGTCTTGTTTCAGAAACCTACTCCCTGCATTTTACACCTGTCAGGATGACTGGTACTTGGTGTAATGGAAACAGTCCTTCTACTGGTTAGGCCCTTCCTACTCTCTTCATATTCTCTTTCTGGTTTTATTGAAGACTGGAACCCCTCAAACTCTGACATGGTATCTGGGGCTCTAGCGGATACTGGTAGACTTGTCAGTATCAACTGTTTAGCTGTTTGGTGCTCTAAATATGCCTTGCTCCTGTGATTTCCATCCCAGAGTACTATACCCTTGTGAAGACATTCTTCTGCCTCATGTTTGACTCAGTCTCATTTAAAGACCTACTCTGTCAGTTCCCATACTTTTTAGAAGCCCTATTCTGCCTTGGTCTGGGTTTTGTTGTGTCAGTTGTAACTGAGTTTGTTCTCACCCCAGTGTTGTGTCTTTTAGCAAAATGAAGGGTAAGCCCAATATAGCTTTACTAGTTTCTGAAAAACTTAGGTCACATTTTGTATGTTGTCATGTCTATAGACATATGTACCATATGTAGAATTGGGCCACTATACACCTATTGGATTTTTTCATAAATTCCAAAAGAATATTGTATTATTTCTTTATTTAATTTTTTGAGTTAGAGTCCCGCTTTGTTGCCCAGGCTGGAGTGCAATGGCATGATCTTGGCTCACTAGAACCTCCGCCTCCTGCTGTCAAGGCATTCCCCTGCCTCAGCCCCCATGTAGCCTGGACTGCCGGTGTGAGCCACCATGTCTGCCTAATTTTGGGGCTAGTTTTTGTATTTTTGGTAGAGACATGTTTTTCCCTTGTCAAGGCTGGTCTCCAACTCCCGACCTCAAGTGATCCACTTGCTTCATCCTTCCAAAGTTCTGGGATTACAGGCATGAGTGACTGCGCCCTGCTAGAATCTTTTATAATTAAATGGCAAATTTGAATGTGAACTGGGTGCAGTGGCTCATGCCTGTAATGCCAGCACTTTGGGAGGCCAAGGCAGGCAGATCACTTGAGGTCAGGCGTTCAAAACCAGCCTGGCCAACTTGGTGACACCCCACCTCTACTAAAAATACAATAGCCAGGCATGGTGATGCATTCCTGTAGTCCCAGCTACTCAAGAAACTGAAGAAGGAGAATAATTTGAACCCAGGAGGCAGAGGTTGCAGTGAGCTGATCATGCTACTGCTTTCCAGACTGTGTGACAGAGTGAAATTCCATCTCAACAACAACAACAAATAATTGAATGTTCCTAATTGTATGTTAGCTATGTTCGGCTAACATGTCTGTTTCTTTTTCCAGTTAACAATTTATGAATATTGACACATTTTTAATGATGTGTAATTTTTCAGAATTATAAAGGTTTATGTGTTTAAAACTGGTTGGAATATCACTGTCTCAAAAGTGTTAATAAAGCTACTGGCCTAGCTGTATTAACGTTCATTTATTCAATAACTCTGACCTTTCTGATCCTTGGTTTACCCAACTTAAAATGGCTGCAAAGATTACTAAAAATATATGTAAGATGCTTCCATAAATTAGAAACTAAATGTAAAAGTTACTTTTAAAAATCTGCAATCCTAATTACTTACAATTTAATCTGGAATTTAGTATTCTATTCTGTTTTCAGAGCTGCTATAGGGCATGCTGTTCTTTGCTGTTCCACTTTTGGAAAAAAGCAGAATTCAACGTTTTTCTAACAGGTACAGATCTTTGTGCTTGAGACTGTGGGGAAACCTTGGACTTGAGCTCCACTTTTGGTTATTTTTGGTATTTGCTAAAACCTAACTACATTCTGTCCACTTCTAGCATGATACCTGCTATGTGATAGAACCCAGTAAAAGTTTAGCTGTGATGGGAGTGGATGTTTGTGCATTATTTTTG